TCCTCGTTAGAGGGGATGTAGAACTGAAGGATCGCAGCCTTCAGAACGTCGCACGCGTTTTCCTCCGGCGGTTTAAGATTGATGTCCTTAATGGCGAACATTCGGTCGCCGGGGATCGCCTCTACCGCCTAAACGTATTTTAAGGGCTGGCTCCGCACGTAACGGGCAATAAACTGCGTTTCTAACGCAGCAAATCAACCCCCAGGGTCGTGAAGAATTCCATCTACTGGCTTAAAACTAATAGCCCATAGATTCAGTTCCCAATCGTTTACTGGTGGACGCGCCTCGGCCATCGTGCAATTGTGATAAAGAAATATATCGTGAAAACGAAAATTAACCGTGACAAACAAGTGCAAACCAAATTGGATTTGACTTACAAAGTAGACGTTTCGGGCTCACGAATGAAGCTAACCGGCGTTGACGGCCTGCCGATAAGTTTTCTTACGAATCTCAAATTACGCGCGACCTCCTGCTGTCTCATTGCCCGAGGTAGACAAAAACACTCGTGGGAGTCGTAAACGTTTGATGGCGAATCGTGGTACTAGATAGTACCGAATACGTGCCGAGGCGACGCTAAACAATGCAAGCAATAAATTCAATAGCAAAGCGAAAGCGTGTCAAACGTGTTGTGTGGGTTTTAACAGGACCCAACTTATATATACATCTGAGCGGAAAACCGTGCTCAGAAAAACAAGCAGAAGTAAAACAAAGAAGTATCACAGTTGGAGTCAGAGTTGATTGTGAAGAAAATATGAACGGAAAACGTCTTCGTGGATTGCTTCTTTTCTTCGTACAATCATAGACACTGCAGTTCTAATTCTGCCTTTTTCATTGCAGACCTCATGCTGCGGTGTGATCATCCTAAAGATGGCGCAGCACTCCAGCTCTCAACGATGGTGGTTTTTTCACCTTTCTCTCTGGAGGAGGATAGTCTGACGGAGGTTGATTGACCAGGTTGACACGACATTAAATTCAATTTAGGAACAAAATATTGAAGACAAAGAAGGAGACTGTAGAAAAACTCACCGAACGTAATTTGACCAAGGTTTCATACTGTCACGGCAATTCAAAGAACGTTCAAAACGAATCGCAATTTCTCGACCTCGGCTGACCAAATTTCCAGCACGCAGGAAAACATTTGAACGAAAATTGAAATTTTGTTTCTATTATAGGCATACATTGATACAATTTTGCGACTTGCGAAACCGTCGTATGTCCCATTTACGGATCGACAAACAATACAGGAACTCACGGAGGAAGACCACAAAGATACCGGTTGAAAGACACCGGTCAAAACAACTGTTAAACTTTGAGAACGAAAGAAGAGATAAGAAAAGGAAGAGAAGGGAGTCAGAAAACTAGTGTGCACAAAGCTGTTGAAAAGCGTCATACTAAGAAAGGGATAAGAGCAAATAGTGCTAGTCTAAGATAGTTACAATTAAAGATATGTGCAATGGAGTACGAGTTAATACATAAAAGCATGTAAAAAGCGAACTTATCGAGTTTTGATGTCTTGAAATGATCCACGGGATTGAATCTGTTGCTCAAGTGTCCCGGGTCCTTGAAAGTTATCTGTATTTTCTTTTCGTTCAAATGTTTTGTAGAACATGTTCAGTTTACAGCCTGAGAAAGTTCGTTGACTTGTAGTTTTGCCTATTTGTTGATCTAAACGGCAAAGTCTGATGTTCGGAAATGTCTGTTTTGGATTCGTTTATTCTTGTAATCTGAAAGTGTAGGCAAAAAGAGATTAATAGATTACTTTTGATGATGTTGCAAATTAGTTACTTGTAGTAGGTTAGCTGGACTGATTTGCACGCCTTACGAGGTGTACTGCGCGGATAGTCCAGAGGTCCGCTTAACATTACTTCGAGGGTATTCTAGATTGCTGACCACTGTTGAGACGAGGCCAACGGCGAATTTATCTAGTCCCTGCTTGAAACACGCCGTCTTAGGCGCAGGAACCACTATCTCGGGTAATAAGTTTCAAGTGGATGTGGTCCAAATGGAGAAATGTAACCGTCTGCCTTTAGTACTACTCTGCTTCTGCAAGATGATCTTAGAGTGTCCTCACAGTTGACGGTGTGGTGATAGTACTAGTAGTTCGCTGTTCGGGTGTCGTTGCGTTGATACTCGTTTGTGTATCAATATTAAGTCCGCTCTCATCTTCCAATAGGAAAGGGTGAAGGAGTTGAGTCGCTTAAGTCTGTCTTCGTAGCTCAATTAAGACAGCCCGATGACTTGCTTGGTTGCTCTTCTCTGAACCGCATCCAGTGCTTAATGTCTCCTACTAAGGTTGAGGGGGGGGGCACGCCTGAATATTAAATTCAAGTTGGGGTCTAACGTATATTCTGTATAACATTCTGAAGCACTCGGGCTCCAGTCATCCCAGGTTATTAGGCTATACACTAGGTTGCCTCGTTTCACTAGCCTAGCGCAGTTTTGTGAGAAGTTTGGACGATCCGACAGAACCGACCCTAGATCTGTTTCCTGTTTAACTACCATTAGTGTCATCGAGTTAAGGTTGTATCTACTGTCGGTTTCTCCTCGGCATGTAGTACATGTTGTTTTGACTGGTTCAAGGGGAGACTAGTTTTGCTTCCCCATCGTTCGATCGTATCTAGGTTGCTTTGGAGGATTACTTTGTCCTGCTCTTTTCTGGTACTGCGCCAGATCTTGACGTGATTCGTGTACAGGAAACAACTGGTTGTTGAAAGTCCCGCCAGATCGTGATAAACAGTATGAACAGAGGGGGACCTAGTATAGGTCACTGTGGTACTCCACTTAGGACCAAGTGGTGGCTTCAAAGCTCCCTACTGACCTCCACCTGATAGCTACGATCACTTAAGTAGTCTTTCCGCCAGCTTAGCACTCTTCCCGTTATACCACAGTATATGAATTTGGCACATAATTTTCGATGCGGTACCTTGTCGAAGACCTTGGAGAAATCTAAGAATATAACATCTACACCGTTCCCCATGTCTGCTTCTTTAGTCCAATCGTCTGTCCCGCTAGGAGGTTTGTTAAGTATGACCGGCATTTGCGGAATCCGTGCTGCTGTGCATTGAGGAGGTTTGAGACTCTTAGATATTTTCTTATTCCATCGTCTGTTATGCTTTCCATTACTTTTGAAAGTATGGAAAGAAGAGCTATCGGATAATAGTTTTGTGGGTTGTACGGGATCCAGATATGTATATCGCAGTTACAATGCCAGCTTCTCAATCACGTGGGAGTTTGCCTTTGTTCATGGATGCCGGAATCTGCTGCGTGAGGGGTGCACTTAGAACCCCTGCACAGTTTTTAAGAAGTACCGCCGGTATGCTGACCGGACCCACAGATATGTTCGGGCAGAGGTTGCGCAGTTTGGCCTCGACGGTGGCTCTGTCAAAATATATGACGGGGAGTGCTTCAGTAGGTGTAAGCAAAGCAGATTCGGCTGGCTGTTTTTCGGCGTA